GGACGGAGTTTTTAAGCCACCTGGTATGGTGGCCATTAAAGTCACCGAACACGAATATAGTTATAAACGGGTGTAAGGAGATGGCATTTTCTATATTGTAGGAGATATTATCTAGCATGCAGTCTTTTAGAGGATGGGAAACGGCAGAGAAAGAAGAGACATATGACTGAATTAAGTAGAGAGATACGGAGATTCATATACGAATGGTCTAGAGATTCAAGAGAGAGTTACCTAGCCAGAGCAGATGTTCACGGTCATAAAACCCCAGGCCATGCATGTGGACATCAGAGTCCTTCCTAAGGAGAGGAAGGTAGCCAGGAATCGAAAAAAATCAGAGGAGGGTTTTGAAGAGTTCAGATTAGTATCGCAGAGAGTTCGGATATTTGGAAACTTTTCGAAAAGTAATTATTCCACACTGCCCACTATCACGAATGTTGGAGAAAGAAGTTAAGGGTTTGGATGACAGCGAGATCAGTGACGGAGTTTTAAGCCACCCGATGGAACGTTTCAACACTGTGTAAGTTTGTACGGATACAACGAATGTTGAAGAAAATTAGGTTAAGGGCGTTAGGTGTTTTTTTTAGATTTATATATTTGGTTTTTTATAGTCATGATTTATCGTATTGGTAAAGGAAAGGTCTAGGGTCGTAGTAGCGGCCGGTCAGCTTACGTAACACGTGCAGGAAGGGAAACGGACCTAACTGCAACATAGTGTCGGCTCGGGGTTGCCTACCTTAGGTGCTTTCAGGGTCACCCTTCCATGCGCGACATGGTACTGCAAGAACCCCGATATTATACAACTGTTTATATGGAAAGACTCCCAAGAGGCTACGCAAGAGTTTGGGCTCCTAACTATGAGTCGGGAACAGCAACCAGAAAAATATCAAACCGATACCCTTAGTATGACTAGACGTTGCCACCATCCACGCATATCACAAAATATTCAGGACAGCATCATTGTTAAGGCTTGAGGAAAGAAAAGGCTTTTGGGAAACCCATCCTAAAGAGGATACAAGCGATGAACCTCTACTCCTGTTCAAGAGAAGGAGGAGGGGTTTGGAACGGGTGATTGGAGTGCCCGAATCAAAAACATAATGGACATACCCAAGAGTTATTGAGAAATTTGATTCACTGCAGTTTATATAAAAGGGAATAACAGGTGCGTAGAAGAAATCGAAGTTATTGCATGCTTCCTCTTAATTGCATACATGCGAACACGCACCTAAAACACAACATTTAAATTCCATATACACATATCATAATGTACATATATCACTTTAAATTTCATACCTAATATAGGCAGATTATTGCATATGATGTTTTTGTTCTGTCGATATATAGAACTTTCGATGAATTATTCGATCGTTTATATTTTTTGATTAACAAATAGTGTCACCGTTTATATTCATAAAGGATGACATTTTAAAAATAAAATAAGTCGAAAATGTTTTTAAATACGTATTTTCTTATTTATAATTCCCATTCCAATTAAAACTAGTGTGATCTGCGCGCCCGGCTTTACGCGCATGCGTATTAAGAAAAAAGATTTAACCATTGGCTTGGACATGTAAGAAAATGTGTGAACACCAATTATTTTAGTTGACATGATAATCATCAGACATTATCGAAAGCTTTTAGTAAGAAAATATCTTATATTAAATGTCAAAAAATGATTAATTGAACAAAAAATAGTGAAATGAAATAATAAAATTATTGGAATTTGTTGTTTCTCGTGTTACTTAAATTTCTCACAATAAAGCTCAACAGGAAATAAACGATGTTTCAATAACTTGAACCGATTTTGAATGTGAATTAAGTTCTAATGATTTTTTTCTTTTTCTGTCACATTTAACAAACCTAAGTCTTTGGCAATTTTAAGCATCGAAAGATTAACAATAAAACAACGTGTTAAAGTTATCGAAGCCTATTACGAAAACTGGCGTTCAAATAGAAACAAATTTCGCGTACTTCGCGATTTTTTTGGTCAGCATAATCGACCAACCGAGAGTGCAACTGAAAACGATGCAGCGTTGTTTTGGAGAGGTTCGATTCCTGCGCGCGATGACGAATAGAGGGGTCTGGATTTTCGGCCACATTCTCGCGCACTGCGGCAAGGTTTTCAGCTGAACGGCGCAAACGAGCACGTAATGGTGTTTTCACATCTGCCACCGAACCAGTTTGTTGGAATTTACGAACAATTTTCCAGTTGCCCTTTTGAAACTTTAACACGTTGTTTAATTCTCAATCTTTTCATGGTTGCCAGATTTAAATGTGAAAGAAAAAAAAATTAATTCACATTTGAATCGGTTCCAGCTATTGTAATACCCTTTATAAGCGAACACATTAAAACACGTCAAATAGGACAGGTTCGACTATTGTATGGGTCACACTCTACTTTGTTCTTTTGACAAGAAGTGAGATTTATCTCTAGATTTCTGTTTAGGATTGGGTTTCCGGTGCCTTTTAAAGCGTTTTCCTACACTTTCATTTCCAGTTGCCTCTTGCGTCTGAATTGAAGTATCGCACTCTTTGAGGTGAATTGAGTTAAAATTACGATCTGTTTTGTTTGTATTTCTATTGATATTTATTTACATTATACGAATGTCCTTATCTTTTTTTGTTATTGCCACAAAATATCGGCCATTTCGCCATACGGTTTTCATCAGAGGCCTGCCAACCTTGGTACCATTTTGAAAAGAACTGTATTAATATCTCAAATGCCATACACTCTCAAACTTACTTGGTTGTTTGATTCGTTTTCTAAGGCTTATTAAGCCTTTTGCATGTTATTCAAAACCGGAAAATATTTTTAAATTGTAAGAATTTGTCTTTCAAACAATAATGTTCTTAGTGATACAAGACATACGAATAAAACATAGCTGGGGGTGGGGGATAAGAGGTGGATTCTTACATTTCCCAAGTGTATTTACCCGTAAATAACGAATATAACGAAATCAACAAGAATTGGAACTCGACTCTCCAACCCAATATCCATTACACCACCCTCACATCCAAGCAGACAGAACTTGGTATTCCCAAACGGCCACCCATTGGTTCGACGTTGGTTTGACGTTGCTTAAATTCGGTGATCGTTCCTGAACCAGTGATGTGGCTATAAGATTCCTTTTCTCGGGTATGGTGTCAATTTAAAGTTAGCAGCACCTCTCGGTGCATAACGTATTGCTATGGAAGCAATTAGGTTTTAAACCCGATGGGGCTGCTAAATATATACCCAAACAATTTAGATTTCAGATTTGTTGTTTTTGTAGACGAGTTGCCAACCACAGTTGAAGTAAGTCACGTATCCCACAATTCAGCCCATCATTGGTTTGGGGAGAAGATTCATTCCTTTTCCAAGGGTATTTCGTCCAGTGCGAGTATAACGAAGTCGACTGGAATTCAAACTCATCTTGACGATTTGTCGTTCTTGCTAGGTTAGAACCCCCAACCCCGCGATCCATATCTAATTGGGGACCCAGTGTAGTACTTTGTGACCCTTGATATCTTATTAAGTTTTGCTTTTTCCCTACCTACATTTACATTCGTTAAATATTAAACTAAGCATAATTGAATTGATCGTCATTCTAGATCTTCTTTTTTTTTGTTCTGAACCGTGAATTTATCTTCAGGCTAAGTCTCTAAAAAACGATATTAGATTCCCTACTTTTTTTTTATCCATGCTGTTGAATATATTAAAAATCTTCAACTATTTAACAAGAAAAATCTCAATTTAATGTTAAAAATTGCCGCAAAACATTGTTGATGTATTTTAAGAAGGAATAATCTATTATATGTCTATAGTTCCAATTTAGATACATTGTATTTATTTTCCATTTTTCTATTCGAAATGTTCACGTATATTTCCAATGTTCCATTATCAGTAGATAATTAATTTATAACACAATTTATATTCTATAAGAATACAACCATATGAAAATCGAGATGTAGTAGAATGGTGGGTCTCGTGTCATACATTCGGAGGAAGAATCTTAAATTCTCTGGGAGGGACATGAGACTCTTGCACCGGCTGTGGTTCTGGCATATTCATTATGTAATCTACAATTGTTGGCTTTCCAATGCCTACACCAAGTGGCATATCGTCTTGTTCATTCTATAGAATTGCACAGTTATTTCTCGTCATGCTACTATAAAATGTATAATGGTAACACCTCATCCTCGAAACTCAGATATTGCTTATCATGTCTTAGAACGGTTAGGAGCTTCGAATAACGGAATCAACAAGCCGGAATCGAATTTCATTTGAGACAATATATATATATATATATATATATATATATATATATATATATATGATGCGCAGATTCTTTCCCGCAGTAGGTTGCCATTTTTTTCTGCGGTAAATCAGTTACCATCTAAGACTGTTCTGCTATTTAGCTGGTTAGTGGGATAAAAGTAGAGAATTCATATCTTTTCCAAGGGTATTAGAAAGTAAGTGATTGTAATGGAATTCGAACTCGGCTCTCCGATTCCTCAATCCGAGCCGCTATCCATTATTCCAACGTGCCAAGGAACAAATTGGCAATATAAATATAATATACAAAATTTCAAATATCTGAGAAAGGTTTTAACAGAAGTTGGAAAATGTGACATCGTGATCCGCACACGCATTGGACTAGCGAAGAAGCATTCTAAATTTTAAACAAGATGCTAAGAAACAAAAAAAAAATGTTAGAGACAAAGAAAAGATTGCTGGTTTGTCTTGGAATATCGCTGCGCTTATATGGCAGTGAATGTCGGGAAATCTGCCCAAGGATGGGGAGAAAACTAGAAACAGCAGAAAGGTGATTCTGTAGAAGGTTACTGGAAGTTCCTTAGACATAGAGAGTAAGCAACGTGGACGTCTCATTGAGAATAGCAACAGAAAGAATACTTATTCTCAGAATCAAGAACAAAAGGGCTACAGTTACTTGGAAACATAAAGAGGAAGGGGGACTAGGAAAACTTCACTCTCAAGGCGAATATTGAGGACCTGAACAAACACAGCACTTTGAAGATGAAGAAGAAGTAGAGAAGAAGAAGAAGAAGAAGAAGGAAGAAGAAGAAGAAGAAGAAGAAGAAGAAGAAGAAGAAGAAGAAGAAGAAGAAGAAGAGGAAGAAGAAGAAAAGCAGTATATTTATCATTGTGTGATTTTTATCCTTTTATGTGTTTCAAACAGATTACTCAAGCTATTCTATGAATTCTAATATGTGTCATCTCCTGACCAAATTGTGATATAAACACTAGTGTACCCTTGTCGTCAAAATTGAAGGCAAGAAGGAATTTATTATAATAATATGCATTATATTGTAAGTAATTTTCTTTTAATCCAAGTACAATTTTGTAATTTAAAATAGTTGTTAACGTTAATAACTGAACAGTGTACAATTTATAAACACCTAAGGAAGGATTTTACTCATAAATGTTAAATATTTACAACCAAAACTGTTTACTGCAAAAGTTCCCAAAGCACAATATTTCTTTGTGTAAACTTTGTGTCTGCATAATCCTTGGCAGTCTGTTGATTCAATTTGTTATTTCAGAATCTGTATATTTGTCGACCTACTAAGATCAACGTATCATCGGAATTCTTTTAAATTTATTTTTTTTTATCAAGCTATTAACAAATTCCACAAGATATGCTCTGAATCGTAACATAAAAAACTGCATTAAATCTATCTAAATATTTAATTGTATAAGCTTTTAATTGCTATCGTAAGTGATAAAGGTAAAGGACGTATTGTGAAAAAAATGCCTTTCGATGACTAATGAATTATTACAAGAATTTTTCACCCATCCCTCTTTTTTAGTTATAATTTTTAAAGTTTAAAATGAATTTCTAAAAACAAACAAAGCGTTCTTGAAGATATATGTAGCGTATTATATATACGAACCTTATTCGGTCACGATATGCGGTCAACAAGACACTGACCCTCAAAATGTGCCGTATTATATATATATATATATATATATATATATATATATATATATATATATATATATATAGAGAGAGAGAGAGAGACAGATAAATAGATATGAACAGATAAATAGATATGAATAGATAGATAGATAGATAGATAGATAGATAGATAGATAGATAGATATGAACAGATAGATAGATAGATAGATAGATAGATAGATATAGATAATAGATAAAGTATATCTTTACGTCGGAAGGAATCATAATATACTATGGAAGAGATGTTTCTGTTGGCACACCGCATTTTAGTATCAGTCTCAATTGTTGTTGAATCTCGTTGAATGCTATGTTTAAAATACACATGATGTCGGTCCAGATTTAGAAATAAATTAAAGATGGGTAAAAGAGAAGAAAGAAAGAAATAAAGAAATAAAGAAAGAAAGAAAGAAAGAAAGAAAGAAAGAAAGAGATGCAAAAAGACTGGCTGCGAAAGAAAGAAAGAAAGAAAGAAAGAAAGAAAGAAAGAAAGAAGCAAAAATGGATGCGAAAGAAAGAATGGCAAAAAGAATAGATGAGAAAGAAAGAAAGGCAAAAAGAAAGAAAGAAAGGCAAAAAGAATGGATGCGGAAGAAAGAAAGAAAGAAAGAAAGAAAGAAAGAAAGAAAGAATTGGAGAAAGAAAGAAAGAAAGAAATGGGGAAAGAAAGAAAGAAAGAAAGAGAAGCAAAAAGACTGACAGCGAAAGAAAGAAAGAAAGAAAGAAAGAAAGAAAGAAAGAAAGAAAGAAAGAAAGAAAGAAAGAACCAAAAAATGGATGCGGAAGAAAAAAGGCAAAAAGTATGGATGCAATAGAAAGAAAGGCAAAATAAAGAAAGAAAGGCAAACAGAATGGATGAGAGAGAGAGAGAGAAAGAAAGAAAGGCAAAAAGAATGGATGAGAGAGAGAGAAAGAAAAAAGGCAAAAATGAATGGATGCGGAATAAAAGAAAGAAAGAAAGAAGTTAAGAAAGGATGAAAGAAAGGAAGGAAGAAAGAAACAAAGGCAAAAAGAATAGATATGAAAGAAAGAAAGGAAAGAAGAAAGGCAAAAAGAAGGAATGCGAAAGAAAGAAAGAAAGAAAGAAAGAAAGAAAGAAAGAAAGAAAGAAAAAAGAAAGAAAGACAGGCACAATATAATGGAGGAAATTCAAAGAAAGACAGTCAAAATTAATGGATGAGAATCAAAAACAGAAACAAGCACAAAATAAATGGATAAAAAGCAAAGAAAAAAGAAAGTTAAAATAAATGGATGAGAAATTAAGAAAGAACGAAAGAAAGGAAGGAAAGCAAAATTAATGGATGAGAAAGAAGGAGAGAAATAAAGGCAGAATGGATATAAAAGAAAGAAAGAAAGAAAGAAAGAAAGAAAGAAAGAAAGAAAGAAAGAAAGAAATAACGATAAATGAAAGGCAATATTAAGGGATGCGAAATTAATAAAGAAATGCCAAATGAATGGATGAAAAAGAAAGGAAGAAAGAAAGGAAGAAAGAAAGGATGAAAGAAAGGAAGAAAGAAAGGAAGAAAGAAAGGAAGAAAAAAACAAAATAAATGGATTAGAAAGAAAGAAAAAAGCGGAATGGATGACAATGAAAGAAAAAAATTAATGGATGGAAAATTTAAAAAAAAAATGCAAATTGAATGGATATAATCAAAAAAAGAAAAGAAGGTCAAAATTAATGTGAAATAAAGGCAAAATGAATGCATGGAAAAGAAAGGAAGAAAAACGAAAGGTTAAATGAATGGATGAAAAATAAAGAAAGAAAATCAAAGATTGGTAAAATGAATGGATGGAAAAGAAAGAAAGAAAGAAAGAAAGAAAAAAAAGAAAGATAATAGATAAAGAAAGCAAAATGAATGGATGAGAAAGAAAGAAATAATCAAGGCAAAAATAATGAAAGAGAAAAAAGATAGAAAAAAGAAAAAAATGAAGAAAGAACGGAAGAATGGATGACAAAGAAAAAATGAAGGAAAGAAAATGAATGATCTTAAACGAAAGAAAGAAAAAACTGCAAAATGAATGAAGTAAAACAAAGAAAGAAACAAAGAAGG